TAAGGAAGTAATGTTGAAATATGAAGGAGCATGCCCTATGAAGGCTGGGAGACAGAATTTAGAGCATACCCCATCTAAAACTGCACTTGGTACTGTGACTAGTGTGTCTGAAGAACAGAAAGAAAGCAAACAAGGAGCATGGGTCCCTAACAATGAGAGAATGTGATAACCTGCAATGGATGGACTACTTCCAATTTTCCTGAACATGAAGACAATCTATCTTGCTCATGAAATTGTATTTCACTTTTTCTGCTACCTACAACTTTCGTCAATTCTAACAAATAGAACCAATATTTCAGTAGGATCTTTCAAATTGTAAAAAAGCAATTCTTCCCTCAAAGTAACCTAATCACATAATTTCAATATGAAATTTTCACCAAACTACCATGCTGATTCTAAAATTCATGCGCAAAGGAAAAATAACAAGTAAAATCCAGATACCTTTGATAAAAAAGAATACAAAGAACAGATTTGCACTACCAGATATAAAGATAATATCGTATCAATCAAAAACATCAAAATATTAACATCAAAATAAAACAAAAGCCTATCACTCACATGGAATATACCTTGTATAAATGGGAATTTACTATAAGATAAAGGTAGCATCTCGAATAGGAAAGGTAAAGATCATGAGGTCTTCAGTAACTACTGTTGAGACAAACGACAATATACATGAAGTGTCTATGTATATATATTAAAAGAAATTATAGAAGCACATCATTATGGGCTCATACTACAGAAGGATATATTAGAATTCAAAAATAAGAAACTGCTAAACCTAATATTGTGATTTTAAATTTCCATATACAAGACACTGAAAACAAGTTATAAGTTAAACTTTAAAAGATAGGGAGAAAAATATTTATAACACATACAACAAAGAATTATTCTTCAGTAGGTCTACGTAAGTCTAGAAAGCAATAAAGTACCCAACAGATAAATGAGCAAAAGTAATAAGCCAGACATTTCCCAAAGAAAATACAAATGGTGACACTTTTGCCTCAGGCAGTAAATGGACTAGATTTATTGAGGAGCAATTTTATACAGCACTATAACTACACCAGCACAAACTATTTTCATTCTATTGTTGGGTTCACAGATTCTTTCAAAGAAGGTGTCAGTAAAAATAAGCCATGAATACATCCTAAAGGAAGAACTGCCTCTGGGGCAAATGCCTGTGGCCAGCACTAGGGCTTGAGTCTCTGTTACAGTGGGAAAACTCTATTAGAGACTCCTGGCTAAGATGGTTCTCTAGAAGAGGACTAAAGGGCTTCCAAGTTAATAGTCTTCCCTGGTTCCTACCACAAACAGTCACAAATCCTTTCTGAAATAAAGCAAACTCAATTTAGGCCCTCAGGTCTAATCTGATTTACCTATCCAACAAGTTTTAAATTCAATAACTACATTTTTCACTTCCAAAAGTCATCTTTGGCTCTTTTTCAAATCTTTATATTCATATAGAGGGTGCCCTAAAAATGTATATGTATTTCAAGAAAGGAAAAAACTGTATTAAAATTATAATACTCAAGTCATGCTTGACTCTGCATGCTTGACTTCTGCAGTTATAAGAATACAAGATACAATATGCAAGATAACAAATGGTATACACTGAGTATTATGATTATGATTATTATTATTTTTTTTTTAGAGACAGAGTTTCACCTTGTCGCCCTTGGTAGAGTGCCATGGTATCACAGCTCACAGCAACCTCCAGCTCTTGGGCTTAAGTGATTCTCCTGCCTCAGCCTCCCGAGTAGCTGGGACCACAGGCACCCACCACAATGCCCGGTATTTTTTGTTTTGCAGTTTGGCCGGGGTGGGTTCAAGAACTCGCCACTCTCGGTATATGGGGCTGGTGCCCTATTCACTGAGCCACAGGCACCGCCTGAGTATTATGATTTTTACTACAGTTTTTTCCTTTCTTAAAACTTATATACCTTTTGGGGGCACCCTCTGTATTTTAACAAATAACTATTTCTTGCTTATTTTTGTGATTCCGTATTTCATTTTTAAATATTTTATAATGGTTTTTAATATTCAATATTTAATCAAAACCTATTTTTGAAGTCACTGGAATTCCAAATGTATTGCTCCTTCTCTGTAGTTTGATTCAGGATGACTTCTTTGCATGTTTACCTTTGAGTGTGAACACATACACAAATACCAGAAAATAACAGAATGATATCTTTCAAATACTGAAAGCAAATAAAAGAAAAAATGTGTAACTCTAATCTCAGTCTTGACATCATCTACATAAGTAACCTAAAATGATCTCAAAATTATTAGAAATAATGACTTAACAAGGCTATTGGTATATGAAATAAAAACACTTCTTTTCTACATACTAGTAACAGAAAATGTAACATTATTTAAAATAGCAACAAAAAGATAAGGTACCTGGGAATAAATCTAACAGATGAATGCAACAAATTGTGTACAGTTTGTATTAATTAATAAGACTGTATTACTTTACTGAAAGATTTCTGAAAAAAGACATGCAGGCTCGGCACCCGTAGCTCAGTGAGTAGGGTGCCAATCACATACCTTGAAGCTGGAGGGTTCAAACCTGGCCCGAGATTGCTAAACAACAATGACAACTGCAACCAAATAATAGCCGGGCATTTTAACAGGTGCGTATAGTCCCATAGTCCCAGCTACTCTGGAGGCTGAGGCAAGAGAATTGTATAAACCCAAGAGTTTGAGATTGCAGTGAGCTGTGACGCCATAGCACTCTACC